ATTTCTTCCTCTTTTTCCTCCTTGCTTGTCTCTGGTTCTGCTGGCGGCTGCGTTCCTCTGTGGCTCCAGCTCCAGGCCGGTGTCCCGTCTCCTTGGCCTCTGCCTTCCCCAGGCTCCAGTGACATCCACTTCATCCCCATGTCTCCTTGTGCTCCCTTGCTTTTGACAGTCCCAGTGCCTGACTATTCCCTGTTGGCTGCTTTAGCTCTGCCCACGAATCCATAAGGAGGCCCTATATTTATTCTCAGTTAAATCCTTTGGAACATGTCATCTTTTTCCTGCTGAGACACTGACCAAATCAGCTACTTACTACGTGACTTTGTCCAAGGCCCATAATCTTTTATGGCCTCAGGTTCTCCACAGGCAAAAATCAGGATAATAATGTTCCCTACCTACCTCATGAGGTTCTTAAAAGGACGCAAGGAGATCGTGTGTTTGGATAGACTACAATTGAAAGTCTCTAGCATGGTGCTTGACATGTAGGAGGGGCCCAGGAAATATTAGCTACTATTGTCGCTGCAATGATTGTGGAAACTTCTGCCACTCTTTATATTCAATAGAATTGAGGGATGTTAGATCTGGAAAGTACCTGGGCCATTGCCTTGGATGACCTGCTCATTGTATATTTGAGGAAACTGAGGCCCAGCATGCTTGTCCAAGTTCACACAGCTAATTAGTGGTGGAGCTAAGGATAGTATGAGTCTACATTGAAAGGAGGCCAGCTGTGTTTACATCAATTCTATTTAACTTCTTTAATTAAGGTGTTGATTCCTTCAGTGACGTCACCCACTTGCTTTAGAAATGAGTTACATAAGCGCGTCTCCCTCCACTAATGCTTTATTTGCTCCCTCTGAGAAGAGCATCAGGCTGTCCCAAAATAAGCAAGGATTCGAGAGAATACCCCTGTTTCATTGCTCCTGCTCCCTGCTGCTGACTCATTTACTCCTGGGCCTCTGAGCTTGCTCACATCAATCACCCATCCTCAGAAGAACACACTGCGTCTGGCCTCACACCCCATGCCGCTGGAGCTCTGCAATGCCACCCCTGGGAGGCTTCACTGCAACTCAAGGAAAGGCCACTTTCAGGTCCTCCCCCTCTGCACAGAGCATGGTACCCAGCTAATGATCGTATCCAGCTAAAAATGCTTTTGGTTTTTAAAATCCAGGTCAGGCAATCCCAAGAGGAACAGCATCCAAGCAGATGTGTCTTTTAACCACACAAGTTTGAAACAACTGGATAAAAAGAACATTTGTTCCATCTTCCCATTACCAGGCATTCAAATCTCAGTTTTAAACAGGTACACAAATAACCGTGCATTTCAGATTGATGTCACTCCCTCCCGGGCAAGTGGCTACTTTCCTTCCTAAGCTCGAATAATAAATGCTTAATTATCTTTTTATTTTTTCTCAACAGTAACAAACTTTAAATTACTTTCTTGCCATTGCTCCCAAAACATGCTCTGCAACCAGTCTGTGTATGTTTGCCGGTGCAGAGCTGACATTACCTGATCTTATTTCACAGAAATCCTGTGTTTGCAAGAGGTCCAAATAAGTGGTTGATTCAGGGCAAAAATATCATTCAAGCCATTTGTTTCACGGAGTTAACGAATCAGTTCAGGTAAAGTAGGCGAGTCACTGGCCCAGCGTAGGCAAAGCTGCGTGTCCTTGAATGATCTTTCCAGCCGTCATTCATGGGCTGGCCGGGCTCTTGGGTCACTCCTAAAGGAACTGCCTTGGGCTCAAGGCAACATTCTCTCTCAACAGCTTCTCCTTCCCCATTTCCGGTGGTTATCTCAGCTACTTCACCCGCAACCTTAAACTCAGCCACAAGCATTTTTACTTGATAGTAAGAACACGGAACATGAAATCTACCCTCTAAACAAATTTTTAAGTGTATATGATCCTTGAAAACAAAACAATCTTCATTTCCCCACAAAAATGTGAGGGACTTATAGCATCAAAAAGGCAGGGATCAAGAAAAAGCTAAAAAGTAATAAAAAAGATTGAAAAAACCACTGTGAGCATTTCAAATAGAGGAAGGAAACTACTATGCATAGCACACCTGTGTGTAATCATTTCTGCATGCACTAACTTATTTCATGTTACATTAGATAAGTTAGGTCTGTGATACCAGAGTGCCTGTGTGCAGTGGTGTAAGTTGTTCACTGCACAAGGGGCGTGGTGAGGACAGAGGGGCATTGGAACCCAGCCTGTGCTCTGCCCAACATGCAGCAAACTGGCCTGCAGGAAGGGGCATCATTTTCTAATTTGCCCAAAGACATTATCTTAGTTTGAGTTCCCCCAAAGCAAGTGTGAGGCAAGGATTTGGCTGCAGGCAGTGTTTTGAGAGGTAATTCTGGGGAGAACAGTGGGGAAGGAAGGTGAGAAAGGGAAGGAAGAAGGCCAGATGAGTTGATGAGTGGTTTACCCTTATGGGCAACTGAGGCTTAATCCCACCCTGGACCCTCTAAGACAGTGATTATCAACTTTTTTGGCATCAGGGATCAGTTTCATGGAAGACAATTTTTCCACGGACTGCAGTGGTAGAGGATGGTTTTTGGGATGATTCAAGCACGTTATGTTTATTGTACACCTTATATTAATGATTACATTGTAATATATAATGAAATAATTATATAACTCACCATAATGTAGATTCAGTGGGAATCCTGAGCTTGTTTTCTTGCAACTAGACCATCCCCTCTGGGGGTGATGGGAGACAGTGACGGATCATCAGGCATTAGATTCTCATGAGGAGCATACAGTCTAGATCCCTCACACGTGCAGTTCACAGTAGGGTTTGCTCTCCTATCAGAGTCTAATGCCCTGGCTGATCTGACAGGAGGCAGAGCATAGGCAGTAATGTGAGCAATGGGGAATGGCTGTAAACACAGATGCAGCTTCGCTCACTCGCCCACCCACTGCTCATATTCCACTGTGCAGCCTGGTTCCTGACAGACCACAGACTGGCATTGGGGGGCCAGGGAGCCCTGTTCTAAGAGACTGTGTGGAACATGCTCAGAGCCATACCGCAAAGAGCTTGCGGTATTCCTGCCATATGGATTCCCATCCCTCAGAAGTTAAGAGTTGCTCATAGGGCATTCGTGCCTTGGCATGTGGGTCAAGCACAGTCCTGTGGCCAGAGACCAACCTCAGGCAGAGAGACACGGGAGGCCATCTGTGTATTGGGAAGTACTGCAGGTGACCTCAGGTGAGCCAAAAGGGTATGTGGGCCTGCCAGCCAAAATACTCAGAGAAGTGGGTACATAACCCACATACAGACGTGTTTGTTCACTGAATGCTTATTTTTCAACTGTTCCTTTTGCAGTACAACGATTGTAAGAATGTCAGCTCTCTTGCCTTTGTAAGGAGAGTTAAACAGCAAGAGAATAACCCAGAAGGCCGGGTGTCCAGCCTCATTCCAGACCCATTCCAGAATCATTATTTCATATCATTTACATACATTCTCAGTTATGAATGATTCCATTTTAGGACATGAACAGGCTGAACTTCTACTACATATACAAGTTTTTTCCAGGCTTTTCCATCTCCCTGAATTTGTTCATTGTGAAATAGGTTGCCTAATGGCTAAATAAAAACAAAAAACTTAAAGAGCTTCGGCACTCCTCAAACGCTTCCATGCTGCCTCTGTTTTATAGTATTAATGAATCACAATATGGCACACACCGAACATCCCAGAAATATGTCCAGGAAAGTTGCATAGATTGTGTGTGGCCCCAGGTGTGTGTGTGTGTGTGTTTATACGTCTAGATTCTTCCACCATTCTCCCACCAACACTGTTTGGGTAGCTAGCCTCCTCATCCTCTCTGAAGCCCCCATGCCCTGCAGTAAACATGGAGGCCAGGGCTGTGCAGCAGGACTCCTAGCCAGGCAATAGTAACTTCTGCTGCCACCTCAAGTAACCAGGAATTCTCATGTCTCATGAGTTCCATTCACTGAGCTGACAAATGGTGACTTAGAAACACTCCCCTTTTGTGGTGGTGTTTGTTGTTTCATGTGTAATATGCCCTAAGCATTTTACATTAAAAGAGAGAAAAGAAGAGAAGAGGGAAATTAACTCCAGTTTCAGCAAGGTGTGATGCAAAGAGTATTATTTGGGGGAAACTAAGAACTATGACTATTTAAGTGGCAATGTCTTACGGTGAATCAAATCTAGTGTTCCGTTTTAGAGGTGAAAAACTGAGACCAAAGGAACAGCTTGGTCAAGGCCACATGGACTCATGGACTCTGGACCCATCTCCTGGCTCTCTCTTTTGCACCAGGATGCCTGTGTTCCCTCTCAGGCCTTCCTGGCAGACACACCCTCTGCGAGCCTAGTAAAGTTACTTCACGTACTGGCTGTTCTCCATGTGTCCTCTCAGATGCATCCTCTGCCCTTCTTTGTCCTGCTCTGTACCCAGAAGGCTGACCCTAGGGGCCCACTTCCTGTGCCTCCTCACCTCTGTGACATGAGAGAGAAGTTGGAGTGTTTGTCCTACATTCCTTCAGGTCAGGTCTGGTGTTGACAGTGATCACGGCTTTGAGAATGGCCATGGCCCCAGGCAGTGGCCTCCCTCCCATGGTGGCTGCAGCTTTCTGGGTTTGGTGGCATTACCCCTTTCCCTCTGCTTTACACCTGGGGATGGTACAGGCTCCTGTTCTTGCTAGCTCCTGGTGGCTCAGCCCCATTGCTTCCCTTCAACCTGACCACAGAGTCTTTAACGTTCAACATCTGAGTGGACTAGGAACTTCCTGCCAGGCCAGAAGGATACACTTAAGGGTTTCTTCCTTTGACAAATGGGAATAAAAGGTCTACTCGGGGTTTTAGTGAGGGCCAAATAAGGTCATGTGGGCAAATGTGCTGTGTCTGTCTGGCCCAGGTGAAGGGTTTGTTTTCACCAGGGATCATGTAAGGATTTTTGCCCAATCATAGCTTATGCCTTAACTAGTTTTTACACTGGCGTACCACAGGGGCATCCTAACCATCCCTCTGTTTCTCAGGTCAGCCAAATTGATAACATGTGGCAGAGCCTTGCAGTTTCACCTTGAAAGCGTGAAATTGTGAAGTGATCCCTCGATCTGGAGGCAAAACCATGAGACATCGCACACTCCAGCTTCATACCTCAGGCAGCTGCTAGCATTGATCTGCAAAGGGGGCCCTGCCTCTTCTGTCTCCACCTGTTTCTTGAAAGCCAAAGCAGAGTGACTCATCAGCGACCTAATGCAGCAAAGAAGACAAATCAGCAGGTAGGGTGTCCCCAACCTTACTCCACTTAGAGTTCTGAGCAGCAGTACCAGCCTAGGGAAAAAGGCAAGTGAGAAACGTTGACTCCAATGGCGTCGTGCCCTACCCCACTCTGCCAGTCTCTACACTCTGACATGTAGCTCCTCCATCCTCAACTCCCACCTGCCCCATCTCCAGAACACTAATCTTCAATCCTCTAAGGACTTAACCGAAGAACATCCCACATCCTTTTAATGCCAGCCTATTAAACTCGGCAAAATTCCAGTAACAAGTATGGGTGCCTAAAACATGCTGGTACTATCTCAGAGGCAGGGAAGACAAAAATAATCAAGACATGTTGCCATTTCATCTTTGCCAACAAATACCATTGTGTTTATTTGTGAAATTAACTGATTAATTAAAATAAGCACTCCAAACGACCTGCTAATCAGAGGGGGCCCTGCTAGTTGGCTCTAGCTGTGCTTTGTTAGTGGTTAAGAATATGGAATCTGGAGCCAGCCTTCTCTGTGTTCAAATGTCAGCTGTACCAGGTACATGCTCTGTGACAGGAAGGAGGTAACAACCATTCTGTCTGGAAGGTTGTGCTGGAGCCAACTCAAGAAAGCTGATTGTGCAAATCGCTCCCAACTCTTTGTTCACCAGCATCGTGTTGGTAATTTAAAATCTTCTATGATGGGCCGGACGTGGTGGCTCACACCTGTAATCCTAGCACTCTGGGAAGCTGAGGTGGGCAGATCACTTGAGGTCGGGAGTTCCAGACCAGCTTGATCAACATGGAGAAGCCCTGTCTCTACTAAAAATACAAAAAGAAAAAAACCATGGTGGCAGGTGCCTGTAGTCCCAACTACTCAGAAGGCTGGAGCAAGAGAATCACTTGAACCTAGGAGGCGGAGGTTGCAATGAGGTGAGACTGAGCCACTGCGCTCCATCAAGGTGACAGAGTGAGTAAGACTCCACCTCAAAAAAAAAAAATCTATGACGCAGTGAAGATTTACCCCTTCAGAAACTGGCAAATGTTACACATAAGGCTTCTTTTTTTCTTTCTTTCTTTCCTCCTTTTCCTTCCTTCCTTCTCTCTCTCTTTCTCTCTTTTCTCTTCCTCCCTCCCTCCCTCCCTCCCTCCCTCCCTCCCTCCCTCCCTCCCTCCCTTCCTTCCTTCCTTCCTTCCTTCCTTCCTTCCTTCCTTCCTTCCTTCCCTCTCTCTCTCCTTCCTCTCTCTGTTTCCTTTTGGCCTGTTGAGTCAGTTGTGAGCATTTACCAGTATGTCACTGCCTTTCTACTTCGTTTCTCACCTCTAGAATGATGAATAATAACAGTACCTGCTTCACTGGGTAACTGTGAGAAGTAAATGACACAGAAGACATACATGTCACAATGTGTTTGCTAAATACATATAATCTGCTTTTGTAATTTTAATAGTCAATGGAATTTCTCAGTTTCTTTTGGTTAATGATGCAGCAACCAGGTATCCTAGGAATTGCAGGCTGTGCTGACCCGGAGGGTGGAAGACCCTTCCAAATCCCTATCCAGACTCCTCTAAGACTCAGATTTTTAAAACAAAGCAAAACATAAAAGCAACTCTTTGCTTGTGGATGACTCAACTTCCTTTTTGGGCGGCTCAACTCTGCTTCCCAGGAATCAGCAGTGATTAGTGATAGAAAGAGTAACCTCGTGACCCCAGGTGACCATCAGAACACTAGGGCAGGAAGGAGCCTGTTGATTAAGTGCTGACCTGCAAAATTACCAGCACAGGTGTCCCACAGTTTCATTCTTGAGAAGCTGGAGTTGAGTTTCTGGGGTTGCTTTGGAGGGTTCAGGACATGCTACAGGGTAATAGGAAGGACATGGGGTGAGAAAAAGGTCCCTGCCAAGTTGCTGAGAGACACATGATAGCTCAACAGGGAACCCAGAGTCAGGTTTAATATTGTTTCTGTGCCACACTTAATAATTGAGGTCAATGGTTTATCAAGTCCTCACTGAGGGCCACAGAGAGGACAGTGCAGAGAGGCAGCAGTAAAGGCTGAGGCTGCAGGAAACATAATCAGAGTTTAAAACACTAACCTTTACCTGCTGGTATGGTTGGGAGGCATTCCAACAAGCTTTGGCCCCTGACTTTTCACCGTGCCAAAATCCCCACTATTACATTAGGTCTTAAATAACCTTTGAAAATGTATGTTTTCCCACCTACTTAAAGCAAAGTTATCTCAAGGAAAAATAACATATTAGCATAGATGCACTTATATGATCAATTACCATCAAAGGTCACTCCCTGGAAGTAGGACCTGGAAATGACACGCTGATGGCCATACTCCTGTTAGATGAGGTGTGCATGTGATGATAAGTGGGAAATGGCCTGATTTAAGGGACATTTTAGTCCAATGGCCGGCACAGTAAAGATCTTGGGAAGTCTGAAGCTGTGTCTTCTTTTGAGTGATAGGTGTGGGGCGCAGGAAGGGCAAAGTGAGGCAGGGAGTCCAGTTAACATGTGAGATGGAAACTTAAGGATAGGGACAGAGCATGCAGAAAGCACAAGAGACACAGCTTTTTGCTGGATGTTTTGCCAGTGCTAACTGATGAATTAGAAGGCACAACAGGAAAGAAGCTTGTGATAGCAAAAGGGGTCAAAAACGGGAAGGACACTCAGAGGACAGGAACTATGACGGGGCTCTGCGGCCTTGTGGGCAGGAGGGAGAGTATATTTTTGGCCTGCGGGTCTCGTGAGCTGGAAGAAATCAGGAAATGGAAGCTGAGCATTTAATCCGACATAGATCACAGGCTAATTGTCCCCATTTAGTGTTTGAAAGTGAGAAGTTGTCAAGTCTTTGTGGCAAGCTTGAAACCACAGACATTAGAAGATAGAAGTCCTGAGCCCAGAGAGAGGCAGGCACACCCATCTGCCCAATTTGGTCCAACTTTTTAATATTCCAAAGCAGAATCAGACTAAGCGGAAGTGCTCATGATAGTACTCCAATTTACCCCCTACCTTCTCTCTCTTTCTTTTATCCTGGAGGCCATGTCCATTAGGAGCAGAGGTTACGAATATTCTAGAAATCACTTTGGCATGCAGGAGAGAAGCAGACTTCCTTCCATGCAGCAAATGCCTACAGAACACACTAAATGGCAGGCACATGCCTTGTACTGGGGCGCAATGGTGAGGGGTGACCCCCGGAGGGAGTGTCCCCCTTTTCTCTATGACTCTCCGCCTGGTCTTTTCAGTAGACTTCAGAACCCGTCATCATGACTCCCTGAACTCATCTCCTTCCATCTTTCTCTCCTGAGCTCTGAGAAGCAAAGTCAATTCAAATCCAAAGTGCTGGGCACAGAAGTGTGTTTGTTTCCTAACAATTCAAACTTTATTGTTTTACATCTACATTTGGCCTGCTTCTATAGCGCCTGAGGCTTAGTAAGCTCTCACTAACTGTTAGCTGTTGTTGTGGCTGTGGCTGTCAATATTATTTAAAACGGATAAAGCTGTACAGGGGAGTTGACATAGTCAGGGATTAAGTTGATATGCGTAACATTGAATGTCTGGAGCAAGATAACCTCACCTCTGACTTGATTCCTAACGAACTACAGCGAATATTCAGTTTTTAGTTTTATCGCAAATGTATTACACATGCCTGTATGGGAAGGTGAAGATGGTCCAGTTGTTTTCTTTGAAAGGAGGAAAGAGTGAGAATGTACAAACGAATGAAAGAAATATTTTGATCACAAACACTTTTTTCTCTTGGCTTTACAATAATAAAATATGTAGTGGGATTTTCATTTCGCTTTAGAATTTTTAGTTGCTTTTTCCTTTTTGAAGTGCTCCTTCAGAGGAAACAAATCTTTCTATTGACATTGAAAATGAGTCATGAGAGAAGTGTTGCTCCTTTCCTTTTGAGGGATTTTTTTAATTTAGTTTTGTTTCCATCAAGTTTTAGCAACAGGAAAATACGGACTTTCAGTGTCCACAGGGCTATGATCAAATGGAAACATATGCCCCCTGTTTGTCCATTATTACAAACCATGAGAAAACACACAAATCACTCACATACTTTCTAGAGAGGTTGATTTGACAAAATAGCCTCCTGCTTCCTTTATATTTCTGAAACCAAACTGGTATTTGTGTCTCAAGAAAGCAAACTTGATTTAAAAAAAAAAAAAAAAGGCAGCTGATGAAAGGCCCAAACTGCATGTGGGTCAACTATTTTTATTGCAGAAACCCTAGACAGTGGATGAGAGATGGATCAGTGGGCAGGAAAGCCATCTTGCAACTGCACTCACGCCTTGGCCTACATTGCCAAAGAGACCAATATATCGGCAATTGATTGGAAATACCACAAAGATGAATCACAGATTAGGGAAGCAAACGACAGTCAATGATTGGGCAGAGGCAATAATATATAAGCTAGACATTTATCAAACCTGTGAACAATTAGAGGACTTACCTAACATGGCTGAGAAAGCTACATATGAACCAACTTTCAGAGTAATTCAGGCTTTTATTTTTCAGTCCCTTAGAATAAAAAGGGCATATCTTAACTCTTGAATGAATTTTGTTTAAATCAAGAGTTTCCTCCTGTTTCCTCAGGATCTGATATCGAGTAAGGGCAAGATAAACACTTGTCAACTGGAAGGACTCTATCAGCAGCACTTGGGCTCCATTTGATTTTTTAACTAACCTGCTTAGGATGTCCAACCAGAATGACCAAAATGTCTACCTTCAGTTACAGTACTTGTACCCTGAGGAAGTGAAATAATTTAGCCTCCTGCCCCCCACCCTCCTCAGTTTTCTCAACTGCAAACAAAGGGATTGAACTTTATCTGGTTGCTTTCAGTTCCATGAAAGAGAGAGGTCAAATCCACTTTATGTTGTCAAGGATGATGTCTTTTCTGTTTTGTGAGATACCTGGCTTTTTAGATTCCTTTCCTTTTTTAATTTTTCTCCAGTTCTTCCTGCTTTCCGTATCCTCTTCCTGCCTTCCCATTGTTTTCTCTTTAACAATCACCCACTACAAAA